ATTTTTAGAAATAATGTACATTGCAATGCATTATTTTTCAATAGAAATGAAATGGATGCAATTACATGATAATGCAACCCAAATAATGCATTATAATGCATTTTTTATAAAAACCCATTGCAATGCATTGAAACATCAACGTATTATAATGCATTGTTTGAGTTGCATTATCATGTAATTACATTCATTATTGTTAAAAATGCATTTTAATGCATTAAGAACGTCATACTTTATACTCTTATCACTTTACGCTTATCTCCTTATCGGTAACTGTATACCCTTAACCATATACTCATAACCCTACATCCTTGTTCCTATACCCTTAATCCTATACCCTTAATCCTATGCCCTTAACCCTATACCCTTAACCCTATGCTCTTAACACTGTACCCTTAATCCTATACCCTTAACTCTATACCCTTAACCCTATACCCTTAACCCTATACCCTTAATCCTATGCCCTTAACCCTATTCCCTTAACCCTATGCTCTTAACACTGTACCCTTAACCCTATACCCTTAAACCTACGCCCTTAACACTGTACCCTTAATCCTATACCCTTAATCCTATACCCTTAATCCTATACCCTTATTCCTATATCCTTATTCCTATATCCTTAACCCTTTATCCTTATGCCTATACGCATAATTCTATATCCTTACGCCTATACGCTTCACCCTATGCTCTTAACCCTATACCCTTATGCCTACACTCTCACGCCTATATCCTTAACCTTATATCCTTATGTCTATACCCTTAATCCTATACTCTTAACCCTAGATCCTTACCCCCACACCATTAATCATATACCCCAAGTCCTGTGCAGCTACATTCTTATGATTCTACCTCTTTGATTGTAGCTTGATATTGATTTCCTTTTGACCACATGCTATGACTTTAGGTGAAGAACGAAAAAACAAAAGTTTTGCTATTGGATTGTATTTAAGGCATGGGTCAAAGTTATCCTGGAGAATGTCCTAGCTATTTGTAGTCTTTGATTCGTGTGCACCACGAACATATTAGCTTGGATTTATTCTTGATAAGTCTGCCCCTCGGTAAAGCTCGAGAAGTTCATTGCGATTCAAAGTAGAATGTTGGCGAAGTACAATGAAGTATCTGAGCATTATTATGTGATAGATGAACATAGAATTAATTCAAACTAATTGAAGCAAGTTTTGTCGTGGTAAACTTTAAGTCATTAAAAAGTTTGCGAGGATAACTTCGGCGCACTCCCGAAGTGTGATGAAGCACGAGACTTTCACTTTTTCTCCGTCACTTGAAACTTACACGTATCCTTTATTACTAAACCATTAGATCTATACGTTGATGACTGCACTTGGAAGAATGTTCGTTAAAAAGGTGTGATACATAGAAAGCGGTTAAGTAGTGTCATGGCCTGTATATGCCATCTTTTTCTGTATCATTGTTGTGACGTCATCGTATGTACTTTCCATCTTCATGCTGTTGCATTCTGTTGTCATGCGTGAATGCATATGTTCCCTTTCTAGAATGGTCATCTACATCCATTTTCTTAGTCTTTCTGCATAGATCATGAATGTTCTCTCTAGTCCTTTCCAGCGAGTTTTTGATTCTCTACCAGCTTCTGAATAGTTCCTTTTATTTCCGTGCTCATATATATTTATATGCCTCACCCCTGCAACAACAAACGTGTTATACATACACGATAGAATTAAACTTGTCTTTGAACACCAATTGGTAAAAGGTCGACAGCCTGTGTTACGCTTTGTGACATCTTATTTTTGAATTTGCGAACTATCTTATTGTAATCTCCTTTGCGTGAATAATGCAGTGTTGAAGTTTATAGATCAACATTCCAAGTAATGAATCAGAATCCATTAAAGTCTTACTGAATTATGTAACATCTAGACATGTTCTCCGAAACCACAAAGAGGTTTGACGGCATTACCAAACACTTAAGCATTGTTTCTAATGATGTATAATAATGCATTATCGGTCATTTGTACACTATTTTCGATAATGCGTGACAATGCATTGAAATTTTACTGAATTATCAAATATTGAGGCATTATTTCTGAAAATGCATTGATTTTCAATCCATTTTCGAGTATTAGAACATTATTCCTAAAAAATGCATTGAAACTATGAAAAATAATGCATTGTCATTAATTATTTGATGCATTTTACGAAATAATGGAAAATAATGTGTCAGTTTTGCACTATTTATCCATTATCGGCTACATGGGAAGTTTCAACATTATTTAAGATAATTCATTGAAATGCATTGTTGGTCAATGCATTATATTGAATGCGAACATTATTTAACATAATGCATTGAAAAGCGTTGAAGCTTTAATGTATTATCAGAATTTTCAACATTATTTAAAATCATGCATTGAAATGCATTGAAGTTTTAACGTGTTATCAGAATTTTCAACATTGTTTAAAATAATGCATTGAAATACATTGACTGCCAATGCATTATCAGAAATTTCAGCATTATTTAAATTAATGCAGTGAAATGCATTGTCAGTCGATGCATTATTCCAAATTGGAACATTATTTAAAATAATGCATTGAAATGCATTGACTGTCAATGCATTATCACAACGTTCAACATTATTTGTAAAAAGTTCTCAGAAAACGCGAAAATAATTAATTGAAATGCATTATTTCATAAAATAATGGAAAATAATGGATAATTTTCCATTATTTATCCATTATCGGCTACATGGGTATACACTATTGGAGAAGAAGACGTTGTGATGTCTCTTCTTTCAAATAGTGAAAACCGCCGGTTCCTACCTCTTTCCATTCTAGAGTTCTTCAAAAAACAACTACACCCATTGCTTTTTGAAAATGACAATAGATAATTTATTTTACTGATTTTTATAGATGATGAATGAAACTATAAACATAGCCATGTCTACAACATAGTTAACATTTAATTTTGTTATCTTCAATCGAGCAAAAACGAATTATGTCGTTGACAATTTGAACTAAATCTTCTTTAATTTTCAATGAAATCTTACTGTTAAAACCATCGTTCTACATTTGGAAGACTGTATAGCATTGAGTACATACAATGTATCATTGTCGCTGAATGTGAAAATATATAATCATTTTCCTAGTAAAATAGTGAATTAAATTAAATTTAGATTTTTTAACTAAAAATCTAAAGAAATACTGATTTAGTCTTTTATCGGCTTTGTGCTCCGACTTAACCTTTAGGGTGTCTATAACATTTTTAAAAAGTTGACTAGATCGACAACGAGAATTACTAACATTGTTACTCTTCAATTTTTCTCATGTTCCTCTTTCATCATACAAGCATAGTATTCATTAATAAAAGAAAGCTATTTTCTCTCACTTCTTTGTCACTCACGTAAAGCTTTGATTCAAAAACCTGAATATAATGACAGGTACTATATCAAAATAACAAATTTTATTCTTCTTTTTACTTTCTCTACCAGGTAGCTAGTATTAAGATTGTAAAAAACTTTTTCATTATTAGGATACTTTTATATATATTACATATTAATAAGTAGTGAGCACACTGTTTTTTTGCAGTTGGTTTTTATTGTTCGCTTCATTCATCAGTTGTATTTCTATTGTAAAACTAATTGGCACCTTTAATATTGATGAACTTGGAAAATCTCTATAAAAATTTCACTTTATTACGTGTTAATGCATTCTTTTCTCTATTTTGCTTCATTGAAGACAACGCTTCTAAAATGAAATAAAGAATGATGAAGTGACACACATATCTTGTAAAGTGCTAGTAATTGAAAAATTAATGAAAATTTTTTTAGGAAATTTTTTCGCATGATTATCAGCGACGTATTTAGGGAGGGATCAATTCCCCCTAGCATGCTTAAATACCTGAAATGGGGGGGGGGGGGGGGAAGTCCGGATTTATTATTTTTCACAAATTAAAAATTACCTTTTTTCCATAGCAGTCCCTCCCCTTAAAAAAATTTCTAGATACGTCGCTGATGATTATACAGGTTTTGACAATTTCTCTAATTAAATTAGAATTTATTAGAAAAAGTTCAAAACTAGTATGAAGGATTGAGCATTTTTTCATGAGAAAAAGCTGCTCAATTTTTTCAAAAACCTTTTTTTTTTCTGAATATATCTTTTGTACTACAACTTTTTCAATGTGATATTTTTAGATTCTAAATACAAGAATGAAAGTAAAAAAATGGATTAATTCGTGGTTTTAGGCGCACATTTGCATTCAGAATCTTGAAAATAACATTTTCTGAAAGCTGTAGAACAAAGGTTACATCCAGAAAGAGACAGATTTGTACCAGCATTGTCTAGGTTTTCTCGATAAAAACTCTAGTAAATATTAGTTCAATTGAAGAGCTCGACAAAGTCTATCGAACCACAAAAGAAAATTGCAGAAAAGAATTATAATTGATTTTTCAATAACGGGCACTTCATCTAAGCTATAGACTAAAAAATATACATTCGAAAATCCTTGCATAAAAAGAGCTATTAACAGCTAACAAACAATGCATTTAGAAGTATTGAAATAAAAGAGAAATGGTGAAGTTTCTCTTTCTAAAGCGCTTCTCTAGGATTTTCCATAGACTTTATAAACAAGGGTAAAGGATTTCTATCTTCACTTTCATTTTTAATTCTCACTATTGACTATCTGCATAAGGAAGCTTTTTTCTTTGCCAAATATCAATTATTCGTTACCATTTATTATTAATAAAACTATTTTTTTTTTGTAAAACTAATAAGGCCAATAAAAAATGTTTTTATCCGCTTTATATAAGATCTAAACAATAACAAAAGACAAACTATTATTTACTGATAATGCTAGTTGTTCTTTTATTTTATTTTATGTAGAGTGAAAAAATTCAGCATTGTTTCTTTTTCTCTGTTTTTCTTATACGTAAAAGAATAAAAGAAAGCAAACAACAAACCAAAAACGATAACCGGATGCAAACAAAAGAAAGAATAAAGTTATATACAGATACACTAGAAAGAAAAAAAAGGTGATAAAATCATCCATTCGTATAATGTCGACGTAATTGTTTATTTTTCACTGATATTGGTGATAAACCATTGGATCTTTCAATACACATACCAAATGTTATATTCCAAAAAGCCATACGAAATTGTTTTGAACAATAGGCATAAATAAATGGATTAATAACAGAATTAAAATATCCAAGCCATGTTATTAATGTAACTGTCTGAACATTAAATGAATATGTTTCTGGTGGTATAACATACATAATAAAAAATGGTAACCAAAAAAGAATAAAACCACCAACAACAACAGCTAAGGTTTTAGCTGTTTTTTGTTCTTTCATAAAACGAATACGTTCACGACGATTGACATCATGTGATGGATTCTGTGTACTTCCACTAGTAGATTGATGATGATGACATGATGATAATAAATTACTATGATTTGAATTTTCCATAGCACGTAAACTTGTATTTGATGTCATCATCATTGTTGCACGATGATTTGTATCATTGGAAGATAATTTGTCATCTTCATCATCATCATCATTTGTTAATGATTGTTTTGGTGTAGAATTATAAATTTTTGTTTTCTTATTTTCATAAAAATTGTTTAATGGTTTTAAACAGGAATAACAGTAACAACAAGAATGATTTGAATTATTCATATCATTTTCATTTGTACGACGTATTGATGGTATTGATTGGTTAGATTTAATTGATGAATTATTATTAGTGTTAGTATTAGTATTTTTTGTAAGTTTATATTGTTGTTTAAAATTTTTAACTAATATTGCAGACGGTGGTAGGTTTGTTAAACGTGAAGGTTTCGTTCGTCGATTTATACGAGTTTGTTCAGGTATAGATTTATGTTCATGAACATTAGGATCTGTTGGATTATGCATTAAACGTTGTCCGATGTACGATGAAGATTTTGTTAAATTATTTGGATAATTTAATCCGTATGTTTTGGTTTGTTCATTCAATGATAATTGTGTTATATCATTTGTTAATTCGTTTAATGATCGAGCTATTTTATGTGAATGTCCAATTAGAGATATATTATTATCTTTGTTAGACAATAATATACTATCGATTTCATTCTAAGCAGAAAAAAAAGCATTATTTAAATAAAATCAATTTGTGAAAAAAAAAATGTATCTATTAGTTTTGTTTTGATTTTTTGAGCTTATATATAACAATGATTGTAACTTAATCCAATTTTTATTTCATGTTTTTGTATCTTGTGTTTGACACGATATTACATCTATCTAAGACTAACAGAATGATGTTCATTCATGAGTCAGATTTGCCTTCGCCTCAACTTTACGTTCATGTGCACTCTATCACGAACTATCTGATTTCCCACCAGAAAAGAAAATCTCGATAAAATACTATTTTGAATCAATATTCTCTTTCGTGATCACTTCAAAATATGATTAAATTAAGAAGTTATTTCATGAATTACACATAGAAATTTTCTTTTTTTTTTGAAAGACAATGATAAAGCATCCAATGATGATTCAACTTCTGACTATTTCGTTTTATCAATCGACAACTAAATTTAATTTCAATTTAATTAATAACTCATTTTCTTTGGAGAGAATTTGTTTCATATAACAATTTTATTGGAATTAGTTATATACATATTTTTTTTAATTTAGACTTAGTTTATATAAAATTGAAAATATTATTTACTATGACACATTGTTTTTTATTCTGCAAGAAAATTTATTCTCTTGATCATTCGTCGACATATCTCTAGTAAATATCTGATGCCATGCTGTAGATGAATATCTTTGTTCTTTTATCTTCAAAAGAAACTAATTACTTTCAAGTTTAGCTTGCCTATAAAATCACAACAATCTTCTGTACCTTGCTTAATTTAATATCGATTATATCTTCATAATCGTTTGAAAATAGTTTGCATAAATAATTCTTTTTGTTTTTCCTATGGATCGCAGCATGTACAGAGACAAAAATCAGAGTATGAAAACGATAAACTTGATTATAATAATACCGCTGCGATCTTTGTAAAGTACATTTAAATAAAAATTCATTTTTCATAATCTTAAAAGATCTATTAACATACTACGGAATGAAAAATGATATTAACAGATTTTTAGTTTGTGAACATATTATTTAATATGTTCAATAAAGATATTTCAATTGAATTTTAAGAAATAAATAAATACTCTATTTAATTGTGACTTTTGAGAATCTTATTTTTTAATTGTTCTTATTTATTTGTTTTTTGTATATAGAAATTTTTGTTAAACAACGGAAATAACGAAAATCTAAGTAATAACATAATATACAAACACATTGACTGCGTAAATGATAGCGAAGAGCACGTTCTCGGAAGTATTCCATCTCCGTTTTTAATAAAAAAAAACAAATCTTACTTGTTTTTTTTCTTTAAAATATGTTGAACTATGTATAGTTGAAGTTTTTAATTGTTGATTTTGATTTAGTTCTGTATTGAAATCACATTGATTACTTGTTGATGATCGTTCAAATGAATGTGATCGACATTTAATTAATGATGGTAATGAATTTTGAAATGTTTTTAATTCATAACATGGTGAATCGCATGAACGAAACTGATATGCAGCGCCAATATGCGATAAATAATTACGTCGATAATGATAAGTTTCTTCAGACAAACGTGTTAATTTTCTTGTTGATAGTGTACATGGACGACAAAATATTTTTGTTGTTGTTGTTGTTGTTGCTGCTGTTGCTGTTGCTTTTGATGTTAATGGTGGAGTATTTGGTGTTGAATATGAACCGCTACGGTGTTTATTATTATTATTATTATTTGTAAAACGATAAATAAGGTAACCATTTTGTTTCCGTTCCGTACTTAAACAATTATTATTAAATGGTGATAATGATGTTTGATGAGTTATAATTGAATTATTTTTCCGAGAGTTTTTTCGAAAACACAAACAACAACAAAAAGGTTTCTTAGTTATACATGTTAGATCTTTATTAGTATCATTTGTACCATCGGAAGAATTTTTAATATTTATCAAACCATTTTGATTTATTTTTGAAGGTAATTGTATAGATGTATTATTTTTATTATCATGAAATTTATGAATTAAATTTTCACGATCATATACAACCATAAATATACGTATATATACAAATACCATAATAACAGCTGGAATATAAAACGAACCAAGTGCTGAATAGACAACATAACCTCGTGCTGTATTTAATTCACATCTATGTTCATGTTCGACCTAAAATTTACGACGATAAATAATAAAAAAAAATGAGAACAAACATTAACCTATATATAATATCAAACTACTTTTGAGCGAGTATTGTGTCTATTAAACAAAAGATAAGCTTTGTTTGAAAGCTATAAAATCTTCTCTATTGATTTATATGATTCTTTTATAACTATAAGTCTATACAAAGGACAAAAATAATGAATAGTGCAATTGAAAAAAAGAGAGAATATGATTAGAGTACTCATCACAGAAAGTTTAGGTGGATGTTTGTTTTTTCCTTTGACTTCTATTATTTCTTTAAAGACAAAGTCAAATATTGCAAAAAACTTTTCATACTGTATGTTGTCTATTTGAATCACGCCAACCAAATATAGGTGGACATGTAATAACAACTGAAACTATCCACACAAGTAAAATCATAACACGAGCAAGAAATTTCGATCTATATGCTGTATATGTTAATGGTCTTGTTATAGCCATATAACGATCAACAGATATACAAGTTAAATTAAGTATACTAGAAGTACATAAAAGTACATCAGATGATACCCATAAATCACATAAAATTAACCCAAGTTTCCATGAACGATCACGTTGATAATAATAAATACTGAATGGAAGAACAAACATTGCAACTAAGGCATCAGCAAATGCTAATGATGCTATAAAATAATTTGTCACTGTTTGTAAACGACGTGTGCGAAAAAAAGCACATATAACAAGTAAATTACCCAAAAATACACTTATATCGATTAATACCATACATACTAAAATTAATATACGTATCCAAACAGGCATTGTTGATGTTATTGTTGTTGGTAATGATGCTATTATTGTTAGATTGTTGTTCAATGTAGCATTGACAAAATCGACATATGTCGTAGACATTGAAATACTCATTGTAATTATTCATGATGCATATCTTCAAATTTAAAGGAAAAAACTCTCAAAACATAGTAAATGATTTTTAAATAATTTGAAAAGCATTAAAATAACAGTAAGTGAAAGAAAGATAAAAGAAAATAAATTTTGATGCTATAATAATAAAGATTGTTAGTATTTTTTTTTATTCTGCTTGCTTGTTTCCCTTTTCTTCTTTCTCCTGCTCTGTCTGGCTCTTCTTTTTTCTTTTCTGATTACCTCTAGGGTGTATGTTCGCTCTAATTACAAAAAAAAAACTAAAAAAAAAAAAGAAAAGCGAAAGAAGCAACAATCATAATTCCGTTTATTATAGTTTTCTCTTTGTATTTTTTTTTGTCTCATTGAATTAATCCTCACCTCTCTTCCTCTGATGTTCTTTCAAATGAAACAAAAAACAACAAAAAAATAATATGATCAACTCTATGATCATGTATTTTTCTGTTGCTATGGCTAGTATATGGATCAACATATGTTGTATTACGTTAGATAATATTATCTTTTATTTCTAATTTACGTCCTTTTATATGTCTAGCTGCTTTCTTTATCAAAACGCATCATCTACTTAGCTATTGGAAGAAAAAATAAAGGGAAAATATATGTGTGCATATATATATATATATATATGTAAAAAGACAGAAAAGATATTGATAAACACATACTACGTGTTAAGAAAGAGAGTCTACACTAATATGATCAATAGTTTTGTTATCACTCGACACAGAACGATCTTTAATCACAGACAATCGTGTAAGACAACGTCTGTGTGAATGTCCTCTCATCCCTAATAATTCACGACAGAGATGTGTCAATTATTTGTTTTCTTACCAAAAATCATGTTATTCAGTACTATTGAGACTAAAAAGTGCTGACAGTTTCCTAGCTGTTTGTCTCGTGAATGATTAGCATTCTATAATACCAACAGGAAGAAAAATAGATTCACATGTAGCTATTGTTAGTCAAATAATAATGGACTAACAAAAAAAAAACGAAGTTCGATGACTCTATCATTGATCACGATAGGTTTTGTTCTCTTAATTGTCAAGAATAGCACAAAAGAAAGTCTATTTTTATGGTTCTTTATTTTGTTATAGAGATCCCAATACAAACATTTACTTAATTTCTGCTCGAGTAAAAATAGATGTGTCTAATGATGAAGTTCTGCATACCACAGAATTACAAATAGTTATTGTTCGACATCGATAAATAGGTAGAATAGTTTGGTAGGAAATATTATTATCATCAGTTGTTTTACCACTTTGGAATGAATCCATATGTATAATGCAAATGAAAAGAAAGAAAAAGGAAAACAGAGATAGCAAGTGCGTGTGAATAATATCCTCATTTTCTTTTACAGTTTTATTACTATACAATTACGGATTGCGTGTAACAGTACTTAAGCATACTCCTTGTTGCTCATGTACTTACATGGCATATTTCATTTTAAAATTAATTTTATCCAACTACAATAGATATGCAGGAAAATAAATTCAAACATAAGAAAACATCAACAGAAAGCATCTGTGCATGCAACTTACTTTTCTGATGCGCAAAAAAAGGCGTCCAACCTTAATTGAACAGCACGATATAGTGGAAAATATATTACATGTCGATCAGACCATACCCGAGAGAGAGCTATAATTTTCATTAGATACACTGTCATCGGTTCATTACAATGATAATGATGAATACAATTATAGTTGGAAAGAAATTGCACGCAAGGGTGTTACAACTCTGTCCACAAAGAAAAAACATTTATCACATGTGACATCAGTCAAATTAGTTTTCGTTCTACTCCTGTACTCGGCTATTAATCGTATGCCGCAAGCAATAAAACGGATAGTCACAGAAAAGAAGAGAAAAGACTGAACGAGATCTTCTATAATAAGCTTGTTTCTGTTCGTTATAAAAAAAAAAATGCTTCTCTATATCATCTAATGTGCTAGAAATCTAATCAAATAGTTATATATCTTTATGGAAAATTTCTCGCTTTCTTTTGAAGCTTAAAAGCTTGTATTAAGTAGTTTCATCCTTAAAATACATGAGCTTTTCTTTTATTATTTGTTCATCGTCAATAACACGGTTGTCTAATAATTTTTTATATATCTTTTTAAACCAATTTTAATCTATGTTTCATTTGTATCTATAACAGAAAAAAAGTCAAAAAATAAAGCTATTTATGATAGAAATTATCTAAATGAAATGAACACAAATCTGCAGTGAAGATATGACTCTTTATTGAGTAATGGAAATTTTAATCTTGTTGATTGTACATGTTTCCTCAAGCAATCAAATAGAATACATAGAACACGAAAAAGAAACTGTTAGCAGAGCGTGTCTGACGATTGTGATTACGCATGATAACACGTTGATCTTTGACAGGAAATTAGAGAACAGTCATAGATTCTATTAGTAAAAAGGCAATTGCTGAAATATGACCTTGTATGAATATTGTCTATCTTAGTACTTCAATAAATAAACAAAAAAGTGAATAAAAGTCCATTCTAATAATTGTCAAAAAAGAAACGATTATATCCGTACTGCATGACTTTCTCACGCCATTTAATTTAATGACAACTAAATTTTTCAGCATGTTAAATTAGTCAATGTGATGTTAGCTGACAAGTCACATGAGAATAGTCTAACTTAGTTTTAATAATGAGAAGGATGTTGATAAGTAAGATGAACTTCATGAAACTGACATATAAAAGTTATCTCAAAGGAAACAAAAACATTGACATACCATACTAATATTATTGAATTGAATTGATTCAAGTATCCAATGAAATACTCATCTATATATTTTATCAATGTTTTCATTAACTACCAATGACACAAGAAAATCAATAATACAAGAATATAATAAGATGAGCGAAAAAAATGCTAGAATAAATATAAAAAGCAACGCATCGTTCTTACTAATATGATCGATATATTGTGCTAGTCATATGCTACGGATTAGTAAGAACACAAAAGTAATAGAAAAGAGATAAGAAATAGAAGAAAACTTTATTAATTTATAACAAACAAAACCTTAACGAATTCTACAAATCTCTATCGTAATTATAATCAAGTTAGAATCTAATCTCAAGTGACAAAAGTAATCAACAAGAAGATCCATTCTGTTTTATTGCTAAAAACCTTTAATTTATTTGTTTGTTTTATTATTATTAGAACATAAAGTTGGTTTTTTTCTCTTAATCAGTTTGGCTAATCAATATAAATTATCTGTATAAATGCAAAACATGAGTACAACACTTACATGTAAGAAGAAAACGCTTTTAATGATTTCATAGACTGTTCAATTGTAATCTATTTATATATTTATTTTTGTATAGATCCAACATTTACGTTTTAAAGAATAGTATCAGTTTCTAAATAAAATAACTATACGATTTTTGTATATGATCTACCTTCAGGTACTTTGTGACATTTTTCTATATCGTTTGAATACGGATAAAACATGAATAATTAGTAACAGAGACAATATGGCATATCTTAAACTTATGTCAATGCTAGATGATAAGAAAAACCAAGTCATGCTTCTTATTCCTTAGATAAATTTCTCCTATAAATAATCATAAAAACGTGCCTTTTCAAGTGTAAATGATTGTGTGTAAGCTTTCAACCACTTGCACCTTCTCTGACGTGAAATAAAACAACCAACTAGGCTTTTCATGTGAATATCACCGCAAGCGCCGTATGTGTACATATATGTGTTGATGTGTATAATAAGAGAATATGATCATAAAGGAAAAACAGAAATGAGGAAGATCAGCATGAGAAAGTCACTGTGCACGAACTAATCTGATTGACAACAGCGCCGGTTAGAATAAGATGAATCTCCTCTTGTTTGCTGCTTGTCGCCAAAAGTCGACGATGATGATGATGATAGGCGAGATAAAGAGGAACAAACGATGTTTTGTGATCGTGCTTGTATGGTGCACCGATTTAAGAATGCATCAATCATAGGACGAATTATAAGTGGATCATCTCCAATTTCAATATGTTGTTACAAAATTGAATATAGCCTTGACTGAGAAAATAAAAATAAAAAACAAGAAATGCTTTTCGTAATCATAAAGCAAATAAAATTGCATTGTCGCCTCAAAACAAGCACTCAATACAATCATCTATTCGAATCATGGGATCGTCGTTGATCGTCATTGATATTGATCTCTTTTCAAGCCTCAAGACTTGTTTTCTAACAGGATGCAAGCGTGACTTTTTCATTCTCTATGATTCTATTACTCTTTTTTTTTTTTTGCTCTGTATTATTTAATGTTGACAGTTGATCATCACCATACGTATTGTCTGCCTCAAGCAGCACACAATAGGTTATATGAAAGCAAGAATGAGAAAAAAAGAGAAAAATCAGAAAAAAAAATGTTTTCGTCATTCAGATAGATATCAAATTCACTTTTGTCTTTCTTTATCGATCTATTAATATTTTGTCAACACGTTCGAATCATGTACTTGATAAATAAATTCAACAGCTGGATGCAAATGAGAAATCAATTATTTGTTTTCCTAATAGAATATTTCTTAGTCTATTTCATATAGTCGAACACAAATAACGTGAACGAAAATAAAAAAAAACACATGAAAAAGGTCAGAACGAGCATAAATTAATCAACTTCTATCAACAATGTTAGGATAGCATATGGACACGCATTCATACATACACATACAACAAAATTAGTATATAGATATAGTTATTTATTTTAATATTGAAAGAAAGACATTGAAATTAAAGAACATAAATACATGAAAAAACAACAGAAACAAAACAAATATCTGATATTAAATATTACTTAATTGAAGAGTCAAAAATCTTTTTTTTTGTTAAATATACAAACATTTAACGAAGTATAGGAGAATTAGAAGAAAAACAAAAACAAAGAAACTCGAATATTTAAATATGTGTTTTTTGTCGTTTTGACATTGGAGATTCATCGTTAATGTGAAGT